GTCTATTGCCTTGATGCTTGCTAAATCACTTTTTAGTTCTTAGTTCCATTAATTTATATAGTTCTTTGATAGTCTTAATGCTAAAGTATTTTATAGAAGAAACAAATAGAAGCTTTGTTTCATGGTGCAGACAATTTTTTCTATTATATTCATATATGTCGTAGGTATAGTTCCATTTCACATGAAAATTAGCCTAATCACATGCTCAGGTGCAACTCTTTTCAAGGATACTTTTATTGATATGACTATTCAGAAACTTTAGTAAATTCTCAAAAAGAAACCTTTACAGCAAACTGTTGTTAGTATAAGTTTTACTTTGTGTATTGTGTGCATTAGAATTGTGTGCTGTGTGCATTATATTAAAGCTGTGAGCATCATGGTTACGAGCAGTCTAGAACCATATTAGTCTTCTATGGTCATGAGAATTGTGTACTGTGTGCATTATATTAAAGCTTGTTATTATTTTAGACAAGGAATAGGGACATTCTAATAACAGTGTATTTTTAAATGACTTTTCAAAAAAGAATTACCGAACCGTACCAATATCGAAGAGAAACCGAGATGATACGGACGATTTTAAAAAATCTAATTTTGATTATATACAATAAAGTAATCGAAAAATTGATATGGTATAATTTTTGAAAAATAACCAGTCGAACCGTACCCTTGACACCCCTATTATTAACCACTTTAGTGCAACAGACTACACTGTCCCTCAAGCAATGGCACTTCAAGCCCAAAAGTGATGTGAACCTATGTTTGTTATGACTTATATAACTTTTCTTTTTCCTTTCTTTTCGATGTGAGATTTTTCTAATATTTTATATGCACCTCTTCTTTAGAAGTTACCTAGAACCCTCCCAATTCATCTTGTTGAATTGCTTTCATCAGTTGATACTCATGAGCATCTCACAACACAACATCAATCATTTTTTTTATAATTAAGAAAAGCGCTAGAAACATTGGATTTATTGTTAGATTTTATTGATCCGATTCCACGTGACTGGTTTTCATATATTTATTACTCCCTCGTATACTTTTCTTTTTAATTTGTTTCAGAAATGATATCTTCATGTATTTGAAAATAATTTAATTTTTAAATTTTTAATTTAAATATCTTCATAAATGATATCTCATACATTAGGTATCTTGCTAATGCTACATGGCCTGGCATAGCATTTTCTGTTAATTTACTAGCAAGATATAGCTCTTCTCCTACACGAAGACATTAGAATGGGATTAAGCATATATTGCGATATTTAAAGGGAATTCTTGATATGTGTTTGTTTTATGCTAACAAAGGTAGTGCAGATCTTGTTGGTTATGCAGATACAAGTTATTTATCTAATCCCCATAAAGCTCGATCTCAAACCGGGTACGTGTTTACAATAGATTGCACAAAGCAATCTATTGTTGCTACTTCTTCAAATCATGTTGAGATAATAACTATTCATGAAGCAAGTAGGGAAGGCGTATGGTTGAGATCAGTGATTCATTTTATTCGAGAAAATATGGTTTGAAATGTGATAAAAGATCCACAATTTTATACGAAGACAATGTTGCATGCATAGCCCAATGAAAGGGAGGATTTATAAAAGGAGATAGAACGAAGCACATTTCACCAAAATTATTCTACACACACGATCTTCGGAAAAATGGTGACATTGATGTGTAACAAATCCGTTCAAGTGACAATCCAGCCGATTTATTCACTAAATCTTTGCCAACTTCAATTTTTGAGAAGATGGTATACAAGATTGGAATGCAGAGACTCAAATATTTAAAACAAGGTTTTCATCAGGGGGAGTAAAATATGCGATGTACTCTTTTTTTCTTACTAAGGTTTTTTCCCACAAGGTTTTCCTTATAAGTTTTTTAATGAGGCAGATAGAAATGCGTATTACTAAATATGTGTACTATTTTTCCTTCACTAGGATTTTTCCCCCTGTGTTTTTCCTAGTAAGGTTTTAACGAGGCACAATACCTTTTAATGAACATCCAAGGGGGAGTGTTATGAAAATAATTATATTGTGGATGTCCATTTATTACTCCGCTATAGATAATCTTCCTGAAGAAGATTATCCATTTAGTACTCTGTTGAAATTTATCTACAAGAAGCTGATGCAAGCAGGTTGCAAGCAGCTCAATGAAATGATTTGCAGCGGCTTCTTATTAAACATGCAAGTTGCAAGAAGCTCATGCAGACAACTTACAAGCAGCTAAAGAAAAGCCTCGCAGTTGCTTCCTTTCTTCTATAAATAAAGGAGTTTTCAGTTCATTATGAACATAACTTTGAAAGATGAATAAAATATCAATCTCTCTCTATACTTGTCTTCATTTTATTTTTTTTATAGTCTTTATTTTATAACAATTTTAAAATTGTGACAAGCTTATATAGCCGGACAAGACAAATATTATAAAACGTTTATGATCACAAATTTTAAGAATATTTCTTTTTTTAACAATGTATCCAACCAAATATGTTCCTCAAATAAAACGAAGAGAGCTATCATTAGGCTTTGCCATTTGGCAACCATCTGAGTTTGGTGGGTACAAATTAAAATTGGCCACGACATGATTTAGCTTTTCTCTCTCTCATATCAAAATGAAGGATTGATTTTTATGGTCCAGACTCCAGATAAGCTCTGGATCATTTGTTGAAGTTAGAAGGAAAAAACTCCTCATTTTACCACATAAATAAAAATAAAGAAGTATCACACTAATTTAGTCAAACAAAACCACGAATTTAGTCAAACAATATATAATTAGGAATGGGCGAAAATGTAACTATTTGAGCTCATATAATTAACGCCCTTACCAATGGGCGAAACGACAAATAGTGTAAATACATAGCACAAGGTTAATTCCATGATAAGATTTTTTTATCCCTCAAAATTCTATGATAACTTAGCTACCAAGAAAGGAAATTTAGCAGGACTTATCCAATAAAGAAAAAGCCATCCAACACAAATTCAAGCTGATGAATCTGCTAGGTAGCCAGGAAATCTGGACTAAATTTGTCAAATCCAATATAAGTGTATTTCGAATTCCAAAGCTGATGTCATCTATAGACTATAAGCAAAAACCAATATTCCAGAGGAAAACAAAAAACTATAAGGTTTCCAATTACCTAATAAATAATACTACTCACTTAGTCGTGAGAATAACACGGGCTAGCCAGTTTTCGGATTGGTAATTAAAAAATAGTCAGCGTTTACAAAATCATTAAAAAATAGTCATTATTTTGCTGCAACACGGAAAGTTCCAGCATAATATACTGGAAATTGGTGCACATGTGTATGAACTTCCAACTTATTATGCTGGAACTCCACCACACGAAAAATTCCAGCATAATATACTGGAGATTGGAGCGCATGTGCATGAATTTTCAGCATATTATGTTGGACCAGTACATTATGCTGGAACTCTAGTATATTAGGCTGGAATATTTTTTGGATTTTGAACAGTATTTTCGTTCAGATTTATCTTTACATAAAAAGTGGCTAAATTTCGATTACTTTTGAAATATCAATTATTACTTGTAAATCTGACTATTTTTGAATTTCATCCAACTTAGTCTCATCTCAAGTGAAAGTGTTTGACTGAACAAGAAAATTTATAAAATAAAAAGAAGACTACATGTAAATTACATATATGCTTTAAGTACAAAAGAATTATCTTTTTAAATAAGTGGTAGTGAGACCACCACATGTTGATTTATCTCATTCGATCATGTCATTGAGGGTAAAACAGAATGCTAAGATCGAATAATTTCTAAAAAAAGAAAGGTAAATTCTTGTTCAGACATACTAATATCTAAAGTATCATGTGACATAAAATGGAACGAAAGAATATGAGTATTTTGTTAAATAACTGCACGAATGAATAAATAAGCTTTAGGTACTGCTCTTTAAATATGCTAACGTATATTTATCTTGTTTTCATGTTCTCTTTGGTTTCTGCAGTTTTAGATAAAGTGATACAAGTTGAACAAGAGTCCACAACAATACAAAGTATCAAATCGCTTACTTAATACTAGTAAAAAATGTTGCTAACTAGGGGTGACAAATGAGTGATTTGGACTGAATTTAAGCGAGTCAAGATGAGTTAGGTCAATAAATAGGTCATTGCCCAATCCAGTTCAAAGTGTACTTGGACTAAGATGGGCTAAACGATCATATCCCATCCCGCCTAACTTGACCCATATTTTAGAACCATGCTCATAAATATAGACAAAGTCTTTTACCTTTTATATACCTATGTATAAAAGGTAAATAAATACTATTAGTATTTTAAAAATCAAAATATATTTTCTTAAATAAAAAATTAGTATTTGAAATTGTATAAGTTGAAAATCTTTTTGCGGGTGGGGTGGGGTTGGAGGGTTGGGTGGTACAGAAAAATGAAAAAACAAAAAATAGATGAAAATACAAAAAAAAAAAAAAGG